TGTGGTACACATCCATCACATGGTACACATCCATCATGTGGTACACATCCATTACGTGGTACACATCCATCATGTGGTACACATCCATCACATGGCACATGTCCATCACATGGTATGGGTCCATCATGTGGTACACATCCATCACATGGTACATGTCCATCATATGGTACACATCCATTACATGGTACACATCCGTCACATGGTACATGTCCATCACATGGCACATTGTATGGGTCCATCATGTGGTACACGTCCATCACATGGTACAGGTCCATCTCATGGCATATGTCCATCACATGGTACACATGCATGAGTTCAGCCTCTGACACTACAGGTGACAAGCCACAGCAGGCCCTGTCAGGGCCATCCTAAGGGTGCTCTCAGAACATAAGTTAAGATTTAAAGGCTTCTAAGCAGTGGTTCTTAAGGACTCATTTTAATAAGAACTATTTTGCATGAACATGCATAAACCAGTACATTAAAATGACTTTTAAAATGTTGAACTTTTTCTTGAGATCTCATATACAACATTTAGTTATTTGGTAATTCTCCATTTTCATAATGAATACTAGGAAAATTCTTATCCCAATTATCAAAATTTCCACATATTTAGAATCTCAAACAACTAGAGGTCATTGCATGCCTATGCCAATTTCTGTTATATTTTTTTCTCACGTAACCCGCTTAATTAATCACATTGTCACACATACCTGCGCCTTAACTCTGGTCCCAAGGGGTCTGTTGTTCATCATTTTTAGTCCCCCCCCGACTCTCTCCCTGGGGAGGCACCTGCTCCCAACTCTCTCCTTACCTGCAGGCATTGAGCACCACCTCTAGGTGGCCTCCACAAGCAGGTTCAAGACTTTTTCCTTTGAACGGTTTGTTCTTTCTGCCAAGAATGACCACCCCTCATCCTGTTTTAACTTCTTGAGGCCCCGCTCCAACGTGAGGTCTCTGGTGATGTCTTCCCAACTAAACCCACTATGCCAGCACACACAGTTCCTGTGGCACAATGAGGTATCTAAGTTGTCTGTTTCCCTGGCTGCCCTTTGCCCCTGCCTAGAGGCTTTTTGAGCAGTGGCTTTCACGAAGATGAGAATGACATGGGGATCTTGTTCAATGCAGATTCTGACCCAGTAAATTGGGAATGGGGCCTAAGATTTCTCACAGTTCCTAGCTGATACAGGTGCTGCTGCCCTGCCTTTAAGAACATCTCTGAAATCTCAGTTAGTTGGTATTTCATTATTGTCATCATCTTCTGACACAACTGTCCACCAGCTTGACTAAGAAATGAGCAAGAGGAAATGTCAAGGACAATTAAGTAATGGCAGAAGGAGATGGACAGGGGTGTGTGTGTGTGTGTGTGCGCGCGTGTGTTTGAGGGATTGGATTGGAGAGACTGGGTGGAATTAAAAAGGAAAAGGAAATCGGACAAGGTTAATGAAGAGAGAGAGGTAATAAAAACTGAGAAAGACAGGGAGAGAGAACACAATAGGAAAGAAGTGAAGAGGACAAAAAAAAAGAAAATGACAGCCATCGGGCAACAGGAAAACAGGAAGATTAGCTCAGGATGAATCTGGCCTACCTTATCTGACTTTCCAGAGTAGGGGCTTGACTTCTGGGCTAAACCCTCCCAAGGTTGGATGCGCCAGCCATTCATGCCATTGGAGAAGTTTGCTCAAAACTTCAACACTTTGTTCAAAAGGCTTCTTCCTTCCTCAGTGATTAGGAAGGAGCTATTATCCTAACAGTAGCCACAAACGAGGGTCTGTATCACGATCGTGAAGGTACAGTACAGACAGCTGCATCAACCAAGAAAACTGGAGACAGTAGAACTCTCTTACCCCGTCACCTCAACTGCCACTAAAACAATCCAGATGGTTACCTGATACAGCTCAATCCGTTGTTCAGGCACTCTGGCTTTTGGGTTCTGCATACGAAAGACTCTGAACTCTGCTTTCACCAAATTGGAAGCATTCTTCTCCAAGGCTGAGACGTCAAATCGAACAATTCTGAAGTAGGGTCTGTAGAAAGTGGGCGGGATGGCATCTGTAAAAAGTTAAGGCAATCATTGACAATGATAAAAATCCATTGTGCTCGCAGAAAAGACTGAGATAATCCCAAGAAACCATAAGGGAAATATCTACAGAATGATTTAATTTCCAATGGCCAATTTAATACCATTAACAATTTAACTAGAAAAAAACAAAATAAAATAACCATGTGCATTTGGTTAAAGGACTAGCAGATAATAGAGATTAACAAACCACTTTCAACTCCATTTGAGGACACACAGTTAACCCTGTCCTTTGAAGGTTGACAGAGTGGTGGAAAATTCTAGATGATTATGAATTGGAACAGGTTTATGACAGCTGATGCCTGGGGAAAGATGTCAAGCTTACATACACTTTAATCAGACGTGCCAAGAAAATAGTTCCTAATGGCAAGCGGTTTGCCCACGTATTTTTTTTTTTCTTGAAAGTTTGGCATCTGAATAATCTTCTTTTATCCAGACTCGTCTATTGCATCTTTTTGGGCTTCAATATTTTGTTTTGTCACACACATATGACCGAATACATTCCCTAGGCAAGTTATGGCTAGGAAATGTGAATAAACAAAACTGTATGTACACACTGGCTATACCAGGTTAGGCTTAAAATTCTTTATTCAGGATAAGATCTGTTGGTGGCAGGTTATCCTAGCTAATGGAGAGAAAGAATCACCGCCATGTAAAATACAGTGTTGCTGGTTGTAAACAATAATTTAAAGCTTATGGGTTGGTTAGGGTTTTGCTGTTACACTTTACTAATCTTCTGTTGCCTTGACTATGGACCTGAGGCAGCATCATAGCAGGTCCTACTCTAGCCCACATGCTTTCAAATACAACATTCACTTACTGGTCACACCCCCTGTTACAGGTGATGTTTCTACAACCTTCTCCCCAAACCTCCTGCAAACGTTCTGCCCCTATGCCAGAGTGCTCCACCAACTCTTGGGGCTGCTTGCTTTACTACTGTCTCTTCAATTGTCCAACTTTATTACAACATAACCCTTCACAGTTGTTTGTGTTTCCTTGCAAATGTTTTCATTACTTGTGCATTATGTTTGTTTATTTTGTCCCCCCCACCCCACCCCCATGAAATCTTAAGAATCTTGAGGGCAGAGACTGAATCTGCCAGGTCTTTTCCCTTTTCCCCACATCTCTAGTACGAGGCCCTGCATACACAGAGTTCACCAACCACCCTCTGCTGCATAGTTGGTCCTCAACGATACTAACTTCTTATTAAATGAGCCATCTTGCTGCTCTTAAAATAGAAATGAATACCTTTCATGATTGCTTGGGAAACCCATGCCCTGATGATTACACTGAAAAAAAATATCCTAGGAACACACTAGTGTTTTCTCATCTTAAGTGCCCTGAATGCCTCCCATTCCTTTCTCCTCCCCTGTATACTGTGACCCTCCAAAAGAAGGCTTAGAGAGAAGCAGCGAATTCTGAGCCGTCTCTGCTCCATGGAGGTTCACAAAGCAACTGTGTGAATTGAGGCTTTGTAGCCCAGGAACGAAGTCTCAGAAACAAACAAACTAACTAACAAACAGAAAACCCAAATCCAAAGCATCCAGGTTTCAGAGAAAAGGAAAGTATTTATGCAGATGTGGCAATGTCCTTCTGCACCCCCACTGCCAAATGGCTGGAGTTCTCAGGCCAACAAGCACTGGACCACACAGAAAGGTGTCTGGAGCCCCCTACCATGGCAATTACAAAAGGTAGTACTGAGCAGAAATAGATTTCTCTTCTGGAATCTATGTCCACCCCAGGGATTGGAAAGGCTGGTACAATCCTGAGCAGCTCAGCTTAAAACAAGTTAGATGCCCAGGCAGAGAAGCCTGAGCAGGGCTGGGGCCAGGCACTCCAGCCTTGCACAACCATTTGGCCAGAACCTTCTACAAGCTGA